CACTACTGATTCCAGCACATGTACTCCAGGGATCATTATTGCCCATTTTCCACAGCACAGAAGTGCATCAGTACCCTGAATCATCTACATCCAACAGTGTTTCTCAAAATCAGGCACATTTTACTGGAGTAGGCTGTCTTTGGTCAACTTTTGACCCTTGTTTCTTCTTGAGATTATCATCTTCCTTGAAAATCTCCTAAGCAGCCCGAGGAGCACTCCACTTTAATGAGCACTGCCCTTAAGACGAGGTAGCAGTGATTGCTCCTGTAACCAATTGTAAATATTCAAACAAAGAAACAAACAAAAATCTCAAAATGTAGAAGTACTTCAAGAACTGGCTTTATATTATAAAGAGTCAAATAGCAAGCCTGGTAAATCCCTCTGGGCTTCAGGTGAAGACATGGCCTCTGTGTGGGACAAGAAATGTATTTTTCTACATGATCGACATTTATGGAAGGAGGTCCAAAATGAGCAAGACTGATAGGCTGAATTAATTGCCAGTAGGGATAATTCAGAGGTGGTACTTATGGTCTCTTAGAGGGCATAACACTGTATGAAAGTGATGCTAAAGAGATTTACAAATTATAATACAATGTCCCCCAATATTTAAATATCTGATGCAACACTAAAACAAAATGCAGCATTGAAAGTAAGAATTTTCTTTTCAATACAGCAATTTTGCTATGTGCGTTCAAGGGGATATGTCTTATTTCCTTGCCAGTGCTTAATGTAAACAACTTAAAGCCATTGGTTTTTATTGTCCTGAAGTATGAAACTGGAATTAATATCACAAAGGGGAGCTGTGCACCACTTTTATGGCTGTCACTGTGTCTACTGCATTTGAACATTTGGCATGACTTCTTCCTGTCCTGTCCAACATCTGTTCACTTATTTCTGTCCTCACCATGATTTGTTCACAGACTCATGATCTGTTTGTTAGTTAGTTAGCCTGTTTGTTTGTTTTTCCTTTTAGTAGGGTAAAGAAAAGTTACTCTGCTGTCCTACGGTTAAGCAAAATAAATAATCTGAGAGGTATCTCCGCAATCTCATTTGTGTGCAGAGAAACCAAATCACCTGAGAGACACGGTGACCTAGTGCATTGCAAGCCCAGTGCCCTTTCCACTTCAGTAACAGAGAGACTTTTTAATGACATGATCTAATTTCTGCTGAAGGATTTAGCCTGAAGAAATTGTACTTTCCTTGTAAATGCAGGAATAGTTATATCAAACTGTACATAGTGTAGCTGCTTGTTGCACTGGTGAAATGTTGCCTTCTAATAGTTTAGAATATTTTGGTAATGGACCATTTTGGTATTGGAGCAAGCAGTAAAAATGCTTGTACTTTTACAATAATATATCTGCTCACTCTTGCAGTCCTCTGTTACTTCTGCATTTTCTAGTTATACAGCATAACATCGGCACACAGATAAGCTACAAGATGCAGTAGAAATTTAAGGCTTTTTCATGTTTTGAAGGATGGGGAATGATGAAATACTAGTATAGGACCAATTTAATTACAGACTGCTGAGTAAAGCAAATGTATAAGATTGCTAACTTGGAGTAAGTCATATAGCAAGCTTATATGGGGCTCCATTCCCATGATAGTGTTCTCCATTAAGTAGATTTGAGGAACTCCTCTACTTCCTGGGGTAAGATTTGGCAAGACTTTTTCAAAGAGAGTAACACAAATTTTATAGATGTAGAGGACAGCTGGCAGTGAGATTTATTTCCAAGCCACATTTGGCTCTGTCCTGCATCTGGCCGGCCTGCCTTGATGCTGGGCTGGCTGCCTCACTGGGCTGTCTCGTGCCCAGAACCTGAAGTGAAGCATCCAGCACAGCTCTACCACCACCTCCCTCTTCAGCCCTACATGTCTTTGGTCTCTTCACGTGTTCCAACACCTTCCTTCTAGTTTTATGATGAAAATGCTTTGGGAAAGGTTTGCCTGAAGCAGGTGATAGATTATTCCACCCTTAGCTACTGCCCCAGCACCATGTCAGGAGACTGGTAGCCGAGAAGAGGTCCCACAACCAACAGGATGGTTGCACGTGGTCCCCTGACACGTGCCTGTCTCCTTGACTATTGTGGTTGCAATGGGTGTATAAATACAAGTAACCTCACCAGCTTGGCAAATAGATGCTCTGAATTTCAATAAGTGCTTCTCACAAATGTTTCCGTTTTTCAGAGTCTTCTTGTCTGGATTCCTCAGCATAGTATTTAATGATTGCCTTCATTTTCATCTCAAAAAGGAGTGCCAAAAACATCAAAGCTACCAGTTTTCCTGTTTTAGATAAAATATGCTGACATTTCACCCAAGAGGGAGGATTTTTAGTAGATCATAGCATTCTTGTCTCTAAATAAGTCTTTAAAAAATCCCATTGATGCTTTCCAGTTTCAAATTCATGCTATTAATAGGCAAAAAAAAAAAAAAAAAAAAAAAAAAAAAAAGAGGCTTCTGGGAAAAAAAAAATATATGATTTTGTAGCTCAAATGTTTCACATAAACAAAGGCCAAAACAAAATCTGTAAAAAATATCTTACTTGGTGTACAGGGGTTGCACTGAAGGGATAGGCCTCTCACTGTCTGAACATCATCAAAGAGATTCTGTAAGAGCACATTGAAAAAGGCCTGGATTTTATCTATCCTTCTGTAGCAAGCAAGGAGTGACTGCTAACTGAATGTCTTCAGAGCTGTCCAAGTAGCAGTTTGCCAAGGCCCTTTCTGGGACTTCTGGAGACATATTTGAAACAGGTTTAAAACAGAGAAGGCTGCCTTCATTTTCAGTTTGATCTTTAGATAGTACTTTTTTTTTTTCTTCCAACAAAGTATCATTCAGGATTTCAGATCTGAGCATACAGCTGAGTGTAATGTATGCAGAAACACAGTTCTGCATGCAGCTGGCTGCATTTCATTTTAAAGAAAAGACAGATTTTTTCTAAAGAACCACCAGCCTTCATAATGCTGTGAAGTGGCTGTAGCCGAGCGTGTACCCGATGAGCTGTAATGCTGAGACCTCCTAAATGCCAAAGTCCAGCACAGGTTGTTAGATGCTTAGCACCCAGGAGATGTGAAGTCAGGACCCATAAATCCCTCCTCAGCTGGCTTGCGTTGTTTATCTGCATGTGTGATCACCTGGAGATCCTCAACTGAGGGAACATTGCAGTAGTGTTAATGGTCCTGAGTGATCTGGTAAAGCTCCTCCCAGGCAGTAATCAGCTGGATACAACAGAAAAGCAAAAGTCACGCCAACAAATCTTACTACCAGCCCACAAAAGGCATCAGGAAGCACTAGTAGGTGACAGTGGCAGCAAAAGGGCTAGTGAATTGCAGAAGCTATGGCTGGAGATAGCCATCCTTAATGTTTTGTGAGCACCTTAGGGGTAGCCACAAGCAAAACTGAGTTCAGATGTCCTGAGCTGGATGAAGCACAGCACATATCTAACATCCCCAGGTGCCACTCCTGAACATGACTGCATGGCACACAAGCACAACTCCCTTTCTATCATGCAGAAGTCCTCATGCATACAGAAACCACTTAAAACCAACCCAACCATCCTGAAAGCTGGAGTCATTTATCAAGTCTAATTCACTTGTGTGTTTTGCATTGCTCTGTGTCTGCTGCCTTATTAAAATCTATTTGCCTGATGTCATATAGGCCACCCAGTGACAAGAATAGCTTGTGCATAGATACTATGCCTATATATATGCTGAAAAACTAACAAGTAAGTCCTGCCTCTCATGTCAAAAAGCTTTCTATTTTGGGATGGGTTTGAAGGCTGCTTGTGGTGGTGAGTGTTTCTTCTTTGTACATAGCTTGCACAAATCGGATTCTATTCCAGCTACGAGCACCTCATTGAGAAGACTGATAGTGCATGTTTGGGCAGCCCCTGAAATGTGATTTCTCTGAACTGATGATTTCCTTATTAGGCTCCTCTTTGCTGGAGAGGATGCATGGCCTCACATTGGGCTCCCTGAGCCAGCCTTTCCAATCGGCTTGGGAATTCAAAATCAAGGCTCCTCTCTCCAGCAAGGGCAAGGGGCTAGATTTCTCAGTCCCCTGGCTGACCATTTTCCACCACTATGCTGCGGGACTAAGTCCAGCATGGCTTTGGGCTGCTGATCATCTCCCTTTCAGCGGGTGTGCTCCAGGAGGCCATGTCCTGTCAGCATCCCCCAGGGAAGGGTTCAGCCAAGGCACGCAGGCTAATGAGCTGCTGAAAGGATTGCCTGCAACCAGTGCATCTCCGTGGGTGAGCTGCCTGGGGTGAGTTGCAGCTGGACTAGACAGTGGCTGGGTACTGTTGTTGACATGTTTTTGGTGTTGAAACATAGCAAAACATCACAGAAATCTTTTCCTGGTTATAAGTCATTGCTCTTTGCTGAAACAGTGTTGCACCCTTGTATACCCATGGTTTCTGGAACACTTCTGTTTGTTTTAATTGGTATCTGGGCTAAGACATAATGTGCAAGCTTGTTGAATGTATGGATACCTCTTTGTGTGTGTCTGTATGCATGCTGGTAAAAATATAGAGACACACTGTATACATCAAAAAGAACATCTCTGATTAATTTAATAGTAGAGTGATTTTATCTTTCATTAAGTGCATTACATTTAGAGCACACTGCTTTTGAAGCTCTAAGAAGGTTATTAGTTTATTCCTTCCAGCACATGCCTTATCATTTGCAAGAGATCCAGACTTTTGTTCAAAGACTTTACTCCTTTCTGGACTTGCTCATTTGGGTGGTTTGAACTCTTGTTTTCTATTAAAAACTAAAAATAACTTCAGGTTTAGGCACCAATTGTAAATATAGTCTATCCTCTAAAACTGATACTCCTAAATTTGGATAAACTTCTAACAGACTGTCCAAAACTCACTGTCCATAGTAGTAATTGGTAATTCAATGGGGCTGATCTAAAATTCAGATACAAATGTAGCTCCTTCTCAGTCTTAAGAGAATTTTGTTCTCTCTGTTCCTAAAGCTATTTCTTTTTCCTCACAGTCAAAAGCACTTCGGGAAAAATGGCTGCTGCAGGGAATTCCTGCTGGCTCTGCAGAAGAGGAAGAAGCCAGAAGGAGGCAGTCAGAAGAGGATGAGCTGAAGGTGAAAAAGCTGGAAGAAAATATACACAGGTAGGGACAGTTTCCTTTTGCTACGCATAAGAATAGTCACCCCAAATAAAGCCAGAAGTCTTCCTGACCCTTGGTACCATCCCCTTCTCTAGCAGCAGCTAATAGCAGATGCCTAGGGGAGGATGTAAGTGACAGGCAGACAGACCCCAAATTTTACATGCCCTAGGTTTTTCCCCTAGACCTCCATGATTTGCAAGGTAGAGTCTTAGTGCTGTCTATGTGCTGACCAGACTTGGACAGATTTTTCACATGAGGGAGCTAAAAAAGGGGGATGAGTTCCCCTTTCAGATGCACTTGTATGATTCAGTCAACACTTGAGAGATTCTCCATTGCTTTACACCTCCTACAGTCAAAAAGAGTTCAAAGAGTGGTGGAACTCTTTTGCACTCACTGTTCTCTGGCACAAATGACTTTTCAAAATGCAACAGCAGATGCCACCAGCAGATCAAATATCTACAGCTTTCAGAAGCAAGTTTTGGGCGTTAGAATCACTTCTTTTTATCAGCTTCCCATTGCACAAAAAGTTGATATTTGTAGTCTTTTGTGTTGTTTTTCCTTTTGTTTTGTTCCAAGCAATGTAGTCCAAAGCTCCTAAGAAAAATGATTTTATCCCTTACAAAACAAATTTGAGATCTGCTCCTTTTGCCAGTTAGGTGATGTGATTTTAGAGTTTTTTTCAGCTAGCAGAAAATTGGCAGAAAGTTGGTCAAATTTGGTGCCACGTGTTCTACAAATGTGCAAGCTGAAACAGCAAATGAGAAAATAAAGCAAATAGGACCAATAGTCCAAGACTAGCCTAGCATCTGGTGAACTTTATTTGCTTATGTCAGGTTGTGTTTTTTGTTGTTGTTGTTGTTGTTTTGTTTTGGGGGGTGTGTGTGTGTGTGTGTGTGTGTGTGTGTGTGTGTGTGTGTGTGTGTGTGTGAAATCTCTTGGAGAAATCACTGAAAAGATTTATTTGGGGACATACATAAGCAGACCCACCCTGAGTTTGGATGACACTAAACAGCTCCTATGTGGAAGTAATAGATCTGCATGAATGTGAGGATTGCCTCATACTACTGGTCTCTGTTCTGTTATTACTATTAATTAAAATTAATATGACTGTGTGTATTGTTCATCTGTGGTAGCATAAGGCAAGATAGATTTAATTTCATATACTACCTGATGTTTTACTCCATAAATTTATGCAGTAAATAGAAAGAACACATGGACTAACACTCAGAAATAAGTACTGTAATACATATTTCATCCAGTGTTGAATGCCTCAAAGTGCTAAGTGCTCTGACCCCATCCAGCAAAACACCTCAGCATGTGCTCAGTTTCAGCTATGAGCATACCACTACTAACAGTAATGAAACCTGCGTGCTTATGAGCTTTGATTCATTAATTAAAAGGATAGGATGAAAGTCTGTGTAAAACCTTTGTCCCTGTATTTTTGTGTTTTGTTTTGTTTTGTTTTTCTTTTTCTTTAACTGCAACCATGAGAAAAAATATTAAGTATTTGGAAATAAAGGAGATCTCTTCATCTGTGGCCACAAATGGCAGGTCAACTGAATTGAAAAGACATTTTTGTTTGACAGCCTTGATGGCATATTGAACTTCCCTGTCATCTTTTTGAGGAAACTCCGAAGATAGTAAAAGAGTATTTTGATTTTGATGAGGCAACACGACACCTGGACAGTAGAGATAAAAGAGTAGAGTTTGAGGTCATTAGTTTAATTTCAGTTGGAATCTGTGACAACATGACCCTTACAAACAGAGCCCACCAAGATAGTCTGAGAAGGTAAAAGACAGTAGGAGGGGTAAGAGGAAGAGAGAAGATGTCAAGTTCATTATCTGGAGGGGTGAAACAGAATGAATTCATCCTGAAAGCATTTGTTTTCCTCCTGCACACCACACTTTCCCTCTCTGTCCCTAGAAGGGAATTGGAGGGGAGGATTGCAGGGAGATGGTTTGTGAAGGGTAGGTCCTGCCTAACTAACCTGATTTCGTTTTATGATAAGATCACCCATACGGTGGACCAAGGGAAACCAGCTGATGTGATTTTTTTGGACTTCAGCAAGGCTTTTGACACGGTTTCCCATAGGATCCTACTGGACAAAATGTCCAGCATACAGCTAAATAAAAACATCATACGATGGGTGAGCAATTGGCTAACAGGCAGGGCCCAAAGGGTTATGGTAAATGGGGCTGCGTCAGGCTGGCGGGCGGTCACTAGTGGGGTCCCTCAAGGCTCCATTTTAGGGCCGGTACTTTTCAATATTTTTATAAACGATCTGGATGTAGGAATAGAAGGTATTTTGAGCAAGTTTGCTGATGACACCAAACTTGGAGGAGTTGTGGACTCGAATGAGGGTGGAAAGGCCTTGCAGAGGGATCTGGATAGGTTGGAGAGCTGGGCGATCGCCAACCGCATGAAGTTCAATAAGAGCAAGTGCCGGGTCCTGCACCTGGGACAGGGAAACCCTGGCTGCACGTACAGACTGGGTGATGAGACGCTGGAGAGCAGCCTAGAAGAGAGGGATCTGGGGGTCGTGGTAGACAACAAGTTGAATATGAGCCGGCAGTGTGCCCTGGCAGCCAGGAGGGCCAACCGTGTCCTAGGGTGCATCAAGCACGGCATCGCTAGTAGGTCGAGGGAGGTGATTGTCCCGCTCTACTCTGCGCTGGTGCAGCCTCACCTCGAGTACTGTGTGCAGTTCTGGGCACCACAGTATAAAAAGGACATGAAACTGTTGGAGAGTGTCCAGAGGAGGGCTACGAAGATGGTGAAAGGCCTGGAGGGGAAGACGTACGAGGAACGGCTGAGGGCACTGGGCCTGTTCAGCCTGGAGAAGAGAAGGCTGAGGGGAGACCTCATCGCAGTCTACAACTTCCTCGTAAGGGGGTGTCGAGAGGCAGGAGACCTTTTCTCCATTAACACCAGCAACAGGACCCGCGGGAACGGGGTTAAGCTGAGGCAGGGGAAGTTTAGGCTTGACATCAGGAGGGGGTTCTTCACAGAGAGAGTGGTTGCACACTGGAACAGGCTCCCCAGGGAAGTGGTCACTGCACCGAGCCTGTCTGAATTTAAGAAGAGATTGGACTGTGCACTTAGTCACATGGTTTGAACTTTTGGGTAGACCTGTGCGGTGTCAAGAGTTGGACTTGATGATCCTTAAGGGTCCCTTCCAACTCAGGATATTCTATGATTCTATGATTATGTTCGCATTGCAGAGGCAAGGTGGTCCTCTGGAAGTGTATATTAAACAAAGGCATGGGCCCATGGTGAAACAGTCCAAACCCTCTCAGTGAGGCCAACAGAGGACAGACTGAGCTGGTTACCCTGGAGGACAGGAAACTACTATAAAACCAGCCATAAAGTTAAGGCTGTCAGGACACTATATGCCCAATGTGTCAGGGATCATGAACATTTATTAAAGTCACACTGCATCATCTGAGCAAGCAGAGAGGTTGTCTTTGAAAAAGTCTTGTGGCACATGTGCTGGCTTGTCCCTTCTGGAAAACATGAAAAGTTTTTGCACTTACTGTGAGAGCAAGGTGAAGCTTTCTTGTTAAGGCCAGCATCCATACTCTGCTGGCAGACAGCATCCATACTCTGCTTTAACAGGAGGGAGCATGCAGTCATCCTTTTCCTCTTGCAGCAGAACATTCCATCCTAATCTCAGAGAACACCATTTCTTCTGCTTGCACTGAAGTGCTCAAGAAGCTCCCTTTCTCATACCATACCATACAAGTTTGCTACATGATCATCCGTGGCAGAAAAAAATATCTGCCTTTATTTGCAGGCCAGTCATAAACAGTAGGTCTGGCAAGCTGAGTGACCTGCAAAAGTTAGAGCAGAAAACTGAAGGAGATAGTGGCTGAGACCAAACTAACATTCATAAACAAGAATGTAGGCTCCTGTGGGACTGTTATCTCTTCCTTTGGGCAACAGTAGAGCTAACTGTGGATTTGTATATGGACTTGAAGGCCTTGAACACTGTAGGGGTGCTTCAGTCCAGTATATTTTTTTCTAATTCATTTTTAAATGACTTGCCACTAAAACAATATCTTTTGCAAGATGTACACATGATTGCAATGTTTAGTCTTAAGCTAGTGCAACCAGTTCTCCTCCATGTGGGAGATGTTTAATTTCAAAGGGGACGGCAAAAAATGCATGAATGTACAGACTACTGTTTATTTATTAGACTTCCATGTTATCATGATATAACAAAGCATATACTTCAGTTTCTAGTCAGCAAAGATATGCGCGTATGAGTAAACCTACATGAGTAAGTATAATGACTTAATGAGCTCCCTCATCTGCAAAAGTGTTTGGAAGAAGAATGCCTACATTAGTCAGGATTTCTGGCACTTCATGCCAAGTGACTGAAAAAAAATACCAGCATCATAACAAGAGAAATAAAGGAGAACAGGCCACAGTAAAGAATGTAAAAACAATGAAATGACATCATGCAATTATGCTGATAATTCCCAACAAAAGTACACAGAAGCACAAGATGAACATACAAGTTCAAATAATAGGGAGTGAAAGATTATGACAAAATGCAGTAATAGAATCCATCTAGCAGTGGATTACAGACAATGATCATTTCATAGTTGGGATTAGTTTAATATCTTTAGAGATTTTGAAGCACATAAACACTAGAAAAAGTCTTTACTTCCAAAGTGGAAATAGAAGAATAAGCAGATCTGAAGCAAGTTTAGTCCTAGACCTCCGGCATCCATGTTTGTCCAGCTTGAGTCCTCAGAATAAGACTTATGCTGCCCTAATTGGAAATGTTGGTATTCTGTCTTGCATTTCTTTAAAATACTAATAATTAATAATAATAAAGACAAAAAAAAAAAAAAAAAAAAAGAAAAAATAAGAAAAGAAAAAAAAAGTAGGGCCAGGAAAACTGGACTCTTATAACACTGATTTAGTCCTAAATGGGCTGAAAATCTATCAGTAGAGGTAAGGATGAATAGGCAGTTATGCTTGAAACCTAACTTTA